CCCATCGTCCAAAGCTACGACCAGGTCGTTGGACCAAAAAATATACTTTGTCTATCTAGCTAACGTAAATCCAATTGCCAATCCCTAATATTCTAGTCTAAAAACAAATTTGGGCCTAAGCCATCAAACACTCCCCATAAACCTACCAGGGATTGTTATTACGGGACCCTAGGCTCTAGTCGACCCCTTGGTTCGGACTCCTTGTCGGTCATTTCAGGCCCGTTGTGAGCAAACATTTCGAGCCACCACTGATTTTCATTCCAAATTCCTAACTTTCGTAGAACAAGAACGAGTGCGGTAAAAATCCACTCATGATTTAGTCAAACTATTATATAATAAAATAAAATACTTATTACAATTTATTGTATCAATGTACATATAATATATATCACAACTTAGGTTTATAGACATATTAATGTACAATTATTTTATTAATCAAAATAGATATTTTGATAGAGACTAGGATGTAATTTTCTACGACGTAAATAATTTACAGAATACTGAACCTATTTTCGACGAACATAAATTGAAGATTCTGTGTCGTTGACTTTGTAGGCCTACGAGTTGATGTTAACTTCCGCTCATCGGTCGAAATCTGAGCTCGCGCAAATAACCACACGTTGGCTCGGATTGTTGAATGAGCAATCTGCTTTGATTACAAATTGAATAAATTCTTACAATGAAGAGATGGGCGATTAAATGAAAGACTAGTAACGACGATGTTCTACGTCATTGATGAAGTTGTCTCTTTCCGACATACTGTAGTAAAAATAAAATAAAATAAAAATGTATGTTTACTGGATCCGTTAGGCAGGAATCGTGGATGCGTATATTGTTTACTTTGCATTTCTCTTCAATCGATTCGACTTTAATACGCAACGAGGGATGTTTTTCTAGCTATATTTAAACTGCGTGCTTTCATTCCAATCGATAAAAGTAGACTATTATGTTTATTGTGCATGATCATTTCATTCAAACGTCTGCTTCGGTGATATTTTAAAACGGCTTTCTAAATGTGCGAGACGAAAGATATTTTAAAACGGCTTTCTACATGTGCAAGACGAAAGATATTTTAAAACGACTTTCTATATGTGCGAGACGGAAGACATTTTACAACGGCTTTATGTGCTAGTTCATCCATGTGCACTGTACCGGCTGGGGCGCGCGCACGGTAAATGCAAATGTGGTAACGCGCTGCATTAGTTAGTTACAGTACTAAACTTTCGGGACATTTGCATTTTCAACATAAAAGCGTGGATTATTTAAATTAAACGCTGACAAAAAACACGTTGATAGAACCACTTTATGCGAATTGGGCCTACACGGGAGAGGATACCGTTCTTTTTTAGAACCCGTAAAATTTTTCCCGGGCTGAGTGTTCTTTATTTTTTTCCGATTTCATGCTAAAAATTACTTATTTTGTTCTTATTTTTACACACTTTTCAAACATAGAAAATTATTTTTGTACAGTAGTATATTACTGTACTGTATTATAAAGGTATTACATAGTCACACCGGCTGCGCATTAAGATTTGTTGGTTTTTCTAGTTTTTAAAAATAAAAAAACTCATTTGACATTTTACCTCAACCCCAATATGTTCCTATTTTGTTCTTATATTTTAAGCAATTTCAGCCTCAGTGTTCTTATGAAATGTGTTCTTAATATAAAAAAAAGCGTATGTTAATTACAGTATACCTATATTTTAACTTGCTCGATTGTATGCCTCATGATTTATATATAGGCCTAGGCCTGGCCTAGGCCTATAATGACCGGAAAAAAGCACCATAATAATTTGTCAGAGATTGTGCCTTCAGCGATGAGGCAGGTGTAGTGGCTTCTAATGTAAAACTGTTACCTGCTTTCGTAGATAATTATTCAAATTACTTCAAAAATAATATAAATGATTAGGCCCAGAGGGTCTAGTTTAATTACATCATGATGTGCTTCCGTTGGATAAAAATCGCCAGTGTCTATATTAAACATTTCATCTGAAATTATAGAATTTAGGGTTACGTAATGTCATAACAGATAGAAGCTTCTGTATACTGTTCGATTCTGTGCCATCATGCCTCTCCTATCACCCTGATTATAAAAAAGTTGTTTAATAAATAATTTGAGTGTTAAAATTGAAAATTAAGGCATATTTAAACAAAAATGCCAGATTTAACAATTATAGACATAACTACTACTTAGTTTTGTAAAAACACACACCTTGAAACATCATATATGTATATATATCTT